TGATGAAAAAAATCAGAATAAAAAAACAAAATAGAAAACAAAATTCAGAAAATAGTAACAGATATAAAATGTAGCCAGTTATCATTACCATGTATGAACATATAATTCTAAAATATATTTTGAGAGAACATGCCAAGTCACCTTTCATTTATATAGAAAAGTTGTATTTAGCAAAGGACACATCAAGGTCAGAGTGGCTATGGCCCAAGAGACAAGGCAGGGAGGTGACAGGCCTTCTGAGAACCTGCTTCAGGAGAAGGCGTCTGGGGCAAAGTGATGAGATGATAAGTGGTGAGTGCTGGCAGCCACAGGAAGGAGAAAGCTCCAGTTGCATCAAGGAAGTTGGCAGGTCACGCGTGGAACTCATATCCACTCACTGCTACTAGTAGGGCTGGGGCGGGGAGGAGGGTGGGGGAAATTAGTGCTATTAACTGGAGTGAGAGCTGCACCCTAGTTCCTGGAAAACACACACCAAGAGACACAGGAACGAACCCCAGGGTGGTGTGAAGTGTATGTAAGTGTACACATTTATCGTTATATATCTCTATTTCTGTCCACATGCATACCTAATCATTATTTTGTTACTTCTAATTATCTGTTGCTTTTAAGCAAGTCTAGTGTCTCTATAATCTTGGTTTCCAAGTCAAATGTGGTTGACAAAAACTACTATATAAATAAAAGGTGACTAGTAAAATTTTTTTTTGTGTGTATATATATATATACATGATATAAAATAAATATATTTTATACACTGAAATAGATTGCATAACTTGGCATATGTTCATTAAAATCTATATATTAATATTTATATGTAAAATCTGGTTCCATGTATGTGTACACATGACAAGTGGATTGGAAAATCTGAAATTGATGTTACATTGTAACAATTTCTGACTTTGAAGAAGTCACATAAGTCTTTTATAACTCACATGGATTTCTTATAACCAGTAGCAGGAGGATGAATTCTTTCTTTCATAATTTCCTGAATAAGAAATGTGCCCATCACAACTGAAATCCTGTATCTTTAAGCACTTAAATTGTTTGGATCTGTGATGGTCAAACAGTTCCTGAAATGCACTAACTATAAAGTTTTTCCCAGTCTTCCAAGGTCTGTGATTTTAGCAGAAGTACTTTGGACAGTCATGTAGCGGAGAAAAATAATTCCCCTTCTACACTTGTAGATTCTTGGTTGAGACATCATTGCATTAATAAGATTCACAAGAGAGATGAGAAAAAAAAAAAAAGCGAACAGAAATGTAATAACATGTCTACTTTCTGTATACACAGGAAATACCCAGGAAAGCTAAGTCCTTCAAATGGCCCAGGCCACCTCCTTATATACAGTGTCTGGTTAAAGACAAAAGATGTGAGCCAGGGGAGCCAGTTAAGGGCAGTTATTGAGTAAAGCACTGTCAACAAGGGGATAGTTAGGTAGATTCAAGTCTCTGCCTTCAACACTGGTAAGTTTCTAGATACTTACCCAAACTCTTCTTTCTGGAGATACTCATAAAAATGGAGATTTCTGTTATTTGAATGACTCTTACAAAAGGTAACTTCCACTCAGTTTTAAGCTTCACACCTGTATCTGCTGTTTGTTAAAAATAATAAGCCTAAAATAATCCTTATGCCGAAGAGGCATATTTTGGGTTGGCAAATTCTGATTCTTTTCAACAAATATATGTCATTTCAGTAGAACCTGTGAAAGTCACTCAGTAGTGTTCTCCAGGCCAGAATACTGGAGTGGGTAGCCTTTCCCTTCTCCAGGGGATCTTCCCAACCCAGGGATCGAACTGGGGTCTTCTGCATTGCAGGCAGATTCTTTACCAACTGAACTATCAGGGAAGCCCTGGTAAAGCCTATTGTTACTTAGATTGTAGAAAGTCTGTCTTGGAATTACTAGGAAGTTATTCTAGTCTCGGTCCTAGCAAAATAATATTTACAACAAAGATAAAATCTCTAAACTCAGTCTTACATTCTTCCAGTTTGAGGAGAAATCCTTGTTGATATGATGCAAACTTTAAAATGTGTAGAACAGAGGCCTCTTTCGCTAAATAGTTTGTAATTCAATTACCTTGAGGAGATTATTCTAAACTGAGTCTAAGATATCAGATGCATTTATGTAACTAAATTAAAAGCTGATTTTTAAATTTCTGCCTACCATCCAGATGTTTTGTCTAGAAGGTAGTAGGCAACTGGATCCTGGGAAATACTGAGTGTATGTATTTCTCTCTCTTTTTTTTAACAGATAGATGTTTGTCTCAGGGTAGATACTACTTGAAATGTTATATCTATAACTAACCAAGTAAATATGCTGAGGAAGTGATTTTGATTTTTCTTTTCTGATAAGCCCAAGTGGAAAATCTGGAAAGATAGAAAACAACAAGCTTGTTTGGTTCAAGAATCATGCAAGTTTATAAAGTTTCCCAGATGATTCATATGATAGCATTGTATAAAAATATGTGACAGTTTAGATAGTTTTGGGTTTCAGAAATTAACTATCCCCCACATAAGAGATATTAGCTATAAACATCCTCATACCAATGATTCATATTCCCCCTTGTTTTACTGTTATAGAGACACAATCTAATTAGTCATTTTTAATTAGGGAAATTTATTCTTTGAAGTTATATAAATAAAAAGTCATTAATTTTTTTTTAATATTCCTTCAACTTTCTGATTCTACTACCACTGTTTACCCAAAAAGCCTTTTTTTAATTTCTCCTAGAAACTGACATTTTTCTAGTCACTTGCTGTCCTTCTTCAGGATCAGCTTCAGAGATCAAAGTTACTATTTTCATCCAGCTCCATTCAGCCATTCAAATGGCTTTTTTTTTCTTTTTATGGAATTGCAACAAACTAAAACTCTCATCACATTCTCTGCACCAAACTACAATGACTCCATTCTCTGTCATTACTGAGAAAATGTGAAAATCCTCCTATTAAAGAGTTTTCATGACACATGACTCCCATTATTTAAAGCTCATCTAGTTACTGTGCTAAGAATTGAAAATTAAAATGTATCTCTAAGTATTAGTTTTTATATAATATTTAGAAAGAAAAGGTAGGACTGTTGCTGTAAGAAGACATCTTAAATTTGATACTCTTACAAATAATAAAATTGCATGTTTTTGGTTAAAATAAGTCCCTTGGAGATAAAATACATAAAAATGTACTCATCTATTTAATTATAAAGTTGCTTACTAAAATGAATATGTGTGTGGGAAGGAAAGTATATTTTAATCCATAGGCTTCATAAATGGTAGGAACATGAGAATGATGTTTTTCTATCAACAAGTAACTATAAATTTCCCAATTTCTAAGACAAATTAAAGGTTACATAGTACATTAAATAGTAAAATATGTATAATTTTTAATTAAAAACATTGTTTTTCCAGTATGCCACTAAAATGCATAACACATAAACTATTTTCAGTAAAAGGCCCTCTTCTGAGAAAGCTACTTAATTTTACACTCTTGAAGAAAATGCATTCAATTTTTATAGTAATGGAGGAAGGTATGAAAAGTACTGGTAGATTAAGCAGGCCCCTCTGTCTACTTAGAAACTCCAAAGAGAGACTTCCACTCCTTGTTTTGCTTGGGTCTCCTTTTTATGGAAATCTTTTCCTCTCATTATCTACTCTAGAGAATGGAGGACCAGCAAAGTTAGCTTTTCAATACAATAAGAAATTATTTTAATTTTCATCTCATTTATCTCCCTTTATTACAACTACTACATAACAGTATCAACTCCCAGGAAAACCCTAGGCAATGGCTTGATTTCTTCTATAGCTAGTTTTTCTTCTTTTCTTTTTTTGAATAAGGGTTAGGGGTGGTATTTTTAGAGTTTTGTCTCAAAGTGACAGTAAAGAAGAGTGCAACTAATATAAGTACAATAGACCTCTAACCTGCCTTTGGATCTGGCTGGAAATCCTGATGGTGTGTGTTGGGTCAAGGGGGTTGTTTTTGTGGGTAGATAAATGATTAACTGTATGTGAAGGGATATTTCCTTGATATCTTTGGGGCAATGAAGTTTAAAAAAAAATTAAGTGCAAAACACTTCACAACACAATCCTTTCCCATCTTTTCCATTCAGTGCAATAAGGCTCTAAGACATTAATGCCTAACTTCCCAATTTGGCATCACATTTACCTGGCTCAGCATATTTTTCAACACTGCAGCAAAGCCAACTCTTTTCCAGACCTATATCCCTCCATGCATTAACTGCATTCTCCACCCCACGCCCACCAGTGCTCCCCCTATCTCAAGGAGGGAGAACGGATAATCAAAACAGGGTCCCCAGACATCATCAGTGCTCCTTTGCTCCATTGGCATTCTGTCTTTACTATGACAATGTCCTGTGTAAATATAAAGTTGTCTTATGGGATTAGACAAGCTTCTTTTCCCTTGGCCCTGACTGGACTGCTGTCCCTGGTGCTGAACCATATTACCCGACCAGGGAGTCTGCTGCCAGGTCAATGGGGCTGGATAGAAAACCTGGCTCACTGATCGTAAGAATGCTCAGGTGCAGAAACAAGAGATACTTTGGTCACAGGAGCAGAACCCATCCCCCAACACACACACATACACACAAACACATCTGCCGGGTGTATGCCAGGACCCCATCTGTAGTTTTCTCTCCCAGACCCCCACCCAAGCGCCTCCAACATGGCCTCAAATGCCAGCATGTATCAGCACAGCCCACCTAGACATCAGATTGCAGTACTATCAAAATGCTACTCCCCAAACGCAAAGTCTTTATGACGTTAGCTTTTCCATTCTAAAATAAATAAATAAAACCCATTAAATAAATAAATAAACGAAAAGTGACCTTCCTTTTTTCTCTCTCCTTTTCTTGCCCCACATATTCACATTCTCCTAAATAACAAAGCCCCAAACCCCAGAAGAGTCTTTTAAATCTGGGTGGTCTCCCTACTTCCTTGGTCCCCACCCCTTCCCCCACCGCCCTGAAACAAAACGCCGCCGAAAAGGGCATCTCTTACCCCGGGAAGAGAGATAGCAGGAGCAGAATCCACGCCGTCATTTTCTGGGAAAATACAGGAGTCGAGTAGACTGAGCTTCCTGTGCTCCATATATTTGTCAAACTCATCGTTTTTTTTTTTTTTTTTTCCTCTCCTGCCTCTAGCCTCTAGGTTGCAGAAGAATCCCTCCCCTTTGTATTATTATTATGCTTATGATCTGACGGCGGCTCCCCCCACCTGCCTCTAGTAGGTCCGTCACTGGGGAGCTGTATTGCTACCAGCTTCGGGAATTAATATTCAGAGGGCAGAAATAACATCAGCACAAACGCCTGCAGATACCATCAAAGCATCAGCTCAGGGAGCAGCTTTCAAGTCTAGGGGAATAATATAATTGAGGCCGGGGGAGGGTACCGGGGGAGACACATAGGAGACAAATAAGAGAATGAGAAACGCGGGCACACTCTTACACATATTCATGTCCCCCCCGCCCCCCGCACCACCACCACTCACACAGACTCTCCCAGGTCCATCGTTTTAGGTTTGATTATTTGTTTGCTTTGTGTTGATTTTTCTTTTAGAGGGCAGCAAGTATGTATGGGTGTTGGGGGTGTGTGTATGTGTTTAAAAGAAATACTCGAGTCTCTGCGTTAACTATCACGCAGATTAACTATGAGGTCAAAGTGGAAGCGATGCGTGCTGCTGCAGAAGGAATTAACACATGCGTGGTATCTTTCCAGCGCTTTTTAACTCTTTGGTGCACACACACGCATGCAACGAGAGGCTTTCCTGGGGACAAGAGATGCTTTAGCAATTTATATACTATATCACCAGTGACAGAAGGTGTCTCTTCAGATCTGCCAAGAATCCTTATTTAAAATCATGCACCATTAGAAATCATGGTTACATCGTAGGGGAAGGGAGAGCAGGGGGTGGGGGAGGAGTGGTTATTTCTCTGTAAACCACCCATTAAGAAAACAGATTTGGTGAGTTTTTAATTTGAATGAAGGGAGAAAACATTGATAGAATTACTAAACAAGAAGAATCTATGCCCCTCAGTATCCACTCCTCCTCTTTCTGCTCTCCATCCCTAGTGAAAGTGTAAAGATACAAAGTACTTGGATATTAAATAATATAAATATAAATGCATGAAAATAGTGCCTAAAGCCTATAGACCACAGAATAGGGGCCTGTTTCTTGAAAGGATGGTGGATAAAGGAGAAGGTCAAGATGATATTAACAATGTAAAAGGAATTCTATTTGCTCTGTGGGATTTGACTTTTGTTGTTGTTCTGCTTGGTGATAATTCTGAAAATTTCTGGAGTGGAAGAGTGGTGTTAGCATCTGCTCTCTTGTCTAAAATGTTACCATGGATACTGATACATAGGAGATATCCTTTTATGTCAACTTAGTTCATCCACTGCAGAGGAAACCCCATTCACTCATCATGGAGAAGCAGGTGGAGGAGTGTTTCAAGGTTCCCGCAAAACTGAGACCGTAGCAAAGATGTTCATGTAAAATTCCAAGTGAAGAGGACCAATCAGACCCCTTCCTGGAACACAGCAGGGAGTCAGTCCAAAACCAGTGCCTTTTCCACAATAAAATCTTCCTGGTAGGGAAATTGAGTAAACAGTCCAGGATGCATAGGAATAGAACATGGGATGAGTAGATGCACACTTCATCTGCAAACATAAAATATACTTAACGACAATAGAGATAACTGTTGCTTCCTTTAGACTGAGGAAACATATTCTGACACTAAAGCAAAAAACACATAACAGACATGCCTGGAAACCTGCATGCCTTCAGAACTTAGACAGTTATTTATGGCATTTGAACAAAATCCAATTAAAACAACAACAGCATTCACATGTAGTAGTCAACTTTTTTTTTTTTTTTGGTGGTGATTAAATTAGAGACAGAAAAAAATGAAAGTCTCTTCCTTTGCAATTTTCTTATTCCTTACTGCACTGTGAGGAATTTTGGCCCTCCTTATATATATATATTTTTTTTTTTTTTTAGAAAATAAGTCTACATTGTTAATAGCTGTGTATTTATTTTCAGTTAAGACATTCTATAATATTTTTGCAGGCCAAAGCTTACATGTTCACATGCCTACAAAAACAAAGCAAGTGAGAGGAGTGAGGAAAAAAAGAAAAAAGAGCTAGTTCTGAATCAGTATAGTAGTGGATACCATGTATACTGGACTGGTTGTACCCCATCTGAATGGAGTTGCTACTGTTCTGTTCCAGTCAGTTGCCAGAGGAAATAGGAATACAATTATGAGAAATATCCTAATTTTTCAAATACAAAGGAGGCCAAACTGAACAGATATACAGACCATTAAGTTGCAAATAAAAACTGATGTGACAATCCTGTCTTCTACCAAATAGAACACTTCAAATTTTCCAATGTAAGTTATTTTTTTCCTTTGAATTTAGTGACAAGCATAGTGAAGCAGTGAGAATGAATGCTATCACATTCACACAGTAGTAATTCAAATTTGATTCCTTACTGGTATCATAATGATCCCTGTAAATTATAAGTTATTTCAATAATGGAATACATGCTAGAATATTAAGAGAAATCTATAGAGAAAATTTTACTATTTATAATATCTGGGTACAATTTTAACTGTGCTATTCCTGGCTTGCAAGTTGCAATTTGCCTCGGTGGATCTTTCCTATCTGGTGGCTGCTATTTGAAAAAAAAAAATAGTGTCTTAATATATTTTCTAAGATTTAACCACATACATATTCACTGGTACTTGTAAGAGACTTTCTCTAGTAATATTTTGTAATCACTTTCTAGTTATGAGTATAATCGCCTTTTATTTTTGCCCATTTTTAAGTTTGTGTTTGATGCATATTTAAACAACCATTATTTGATAAATATTATGTTCATATTTTCACTGCAAACAATATATATATTGCTGTATGAAAAGTGAAAGTGAAGTTGCTCAGCCGTGTCTGACTCTCTGCAACCCCATGGACTGTAGCCCGCCAGGCTCCTCCATCCATGGGATTTTCCAAGCAAGCATACTGGAATGGGTTGCCTTTTGCTTCTCTAGGGGGATCTTTCTGACCCAGGGATCAAACCCAGGTCTCCCGCATTGCAGGCAGACTCTTTTCCATCTGAGCCACAACTTACACTAAAATTTTAAAATTATTAAAAAGTGGAAAGAAAAAACTACCACCTGCATGTTCTTATTCAAACATGCCATTGCCAATATATTGGAAATTGTTTGGTGGACTAATTTTATCTGAATGAAGATTATTTTAATTTGATATTGTGTTATTATTACTATTACTATTATAATTACTATACCCAGAAGTGAATTATGAAATCTAGGGTTGGATCAATTTGGTTGTCAACATCAAATCTCTTATCACTTGTAGAATTAAAATAAATTACTTAGGTTTTAGTTCTGCTAATGATGAAGTAGGCCAACCATTATGCAGATAACATTTATAACTTGTGGACAAATCATTAAATAAAAACTATGTAAACGCCTAGAAAGTTACCAAAAATGGGCAGAAAGTGATGAAAATTTGACCATAAAAAGAGGAAACTGGATTGGACGAGGTCTACAGTTTCCCTGAGGGCACTTAAAAGATGATGAAATTTTCCTCATTTGATGGAGACTTCTCTGGTTTTAGCATGGAAAGTTTCATTCTAGGAAACGGTTGCAGAGGTATAGGTTGATTAACATCAACAGAAGGCAGCGACCTTAATTAACTCTTAGAGCAGCTCAAATTAAGGGAGAAATCAGAGAAGCAAAGTAACAACAGAAAGGTTAGACTCCAGGTCTACATACAAACTTTTGTTTAGATACCTGTTTTTGAAGGGAAAGAGCAACAAGGCAAAAAATCTAACATAAAGCAAAAATGGATCAACACAAGTGAGGTCAGGAAAGAGTGGATGATCCATTTAACGTGCTGAAAATAAACTATACATAGAATCAAATATCCAATAGATAGATCTGTCAGAAAAGTAAGGGGAAAAAAAGACCTTTTGAAATAAATGAAGGCTGAGAGAATTTGTCACCAACAAAGATGAGATAAAAATAATGCTAAGGTAAATTCTTCAGGCTGAGCAAAGTATGCCAGATGGGAACCCAGACCTGTGACAAATGAAGAACCCTGAAAATGGTCAACATATGAGGAAACTATATATACATTATGTAGTATTATATACATTATATATATAAATAATGTATATATTTGTGTATATATATATATATAAATTATATATTTGTATATAATGTATTTATTTGTTCTTTTAAAAAGCACCTGACTTTTTAATACAAAAATTTTAACAGTGCATTTTGGAGATTATAACACATATATATGTATAAAATACATGTCAACAATTGTACAAAATATCCCAGAGTTGGGGGTAAATAAAATTATACTTTTATAATTGCTTGGTTATTTCAAGAAATAATATGGCAACTATACATAGAGTTTGATAAGACAGAGGTGAATATGATAATCTTTAAAGCACCACTAAAAGTAATATCAAAAGCTATAGCTTAAAATCATTTGAAAAATACTAAAAAAAAATTCATAAATACAAAAGAAGGTAGAAGATACCAAACAGGGAGAAAAGACAAACAGAATGCAAATAGCAAAACTGTGGCAGAATACCAACATAACCACAAGGAGTATTACAAGAGATAAAGAGGCGTTCTTTATGATGACAAAAAGATCAACTCATCAAGATGACATAAGAATTATAAAATTTTCCACACCCAAAAAAAGAGCTTCAGAATAAATAAAAGCAAAAACTGATAGAACAGGAGAAATAGATAAATCTCACAATCATAGTTGGAGATATTAAGAGTCCTCTGACTTAACATTTATAGAATACTATACCCAACAATTGAAGACTGAAGTAAAAAAGGTACATCATTTTCAACTGTTCATAAAATATGCCTCAATAAGTATCAAATTTTTGGAAGCTTACATAGTCTCTAATTACAATAGAATTCATTAGAAATCAATACTATATGTAGGAACATTTCAAAAACTTTGAAAGTTAAGTAATACTTCTAAATGATACATAGATCAAAGAAGAAACCACAAGAAAAGTTGTAAATGCTTCAAAACAAATGAAAATGAAAATACAA